TTGCTCAGGTTAATTTAATTATTTTGCAAGCTGAATCGGCCTATGAAATTGCTTGAATTATGTCCAATTTTCATTGCTGGAATGGCCCGCTAAAAAATCTTTTACTTTTGCAAACTCGTTAAGTCTATGAGATAATTTGATTTATTTAGCTTTCTGTAACACGATTTGGTCATAAAAACAACTTGGATCTTTTCAAGGTTTCATAGCTTCAACTTTTCGCGAACCGATTCGGTCTATGAAATAACGCGAAATTTTTCAAAAACTCTAGTTTGAATAGCTTCATTCATAAAAGCAAGTAATAGTAAAATCATAGAGCAGGGTGCTATGAATTTTTCCTTAATAGACCAGCGGGCTATGATGGGAAGTAGCCAAAAGAGTTAATTCTACCGATAAAAGTACTCCCTGAAACTATTTAAAGTTTACATTACCTCTAAACTGCGGGGTGTCAGTAATTCAGAAAATAGCACCGTGCAAGTATTTAAAAACAATTTTTTCGCATATAGAGCTGGAGATCTGTTTGTAATTTTTAGGCCAAAAAAAATTGAAAATTTAGCGAGTAAAGCGAGTTCTCCTCTCTGCTATTTCAGTTATAATTGAAGATTCTGCGATTTACAGAGGATCTAGGCATAGCAATTAGGCCTGTCTAAGCGTTATTTGGTTAAGCGATTTTGTTGCTGCGTCTAGAAATCTCGCCAATACACAAGGAAACAATTCAACATTTTGAGATGAGTAACTACAGGCCTATTTCATTGCTCTCTGCAGATCGAACTTGACAAAGTTTACTTCTAGTTAAGCGCTTTGAATACTAGTTTATTTAATTGCCAATTGATAGTTTTCAAAAACGTTTTTCACCTCTTTCCTTGTTACGATACGGCGTAAATTGTGCACGACATAAATGTTTACCAAACCTTAGCTTACATGTTTACGATAAACTTTCGCTTAAGTCCCACAAAATTTATGTTTGTTCAGCTGTGTCTGAAATTAGTACGGCTTTCGTTACTAGTCAGATACTTCGTGAGCAAATCTCTGCTACTGCGTTTATATAACTGACATTTTGAACTTAAATTTCAATATGGTATTTTGGTTTATGGTTGCGCAAAATGGATTTAACAGAATCGAGCTATTGCAAAAAAACTTAAAGATCCATTAATTTTAAAAGCAAATTAGAATCTAGCAATCAACTTTGTGTCAAAGACAAAGTTATAGATGTCCATAAATTGAATATATATGATCAGCATAAGTTTACCTTGAAATAGCTTGTTTAGCTTGTTGGCTCTTAGAATACTTTTCAAAAGTTTGTTTAAAAAGCGAATAACCATAAACCAGATCAAATGATCAGATTTTGTTATATTTAAAGCCAGTCAAAACGAAGTTCACCCGAAAATCATTGAAAGTTAGAATACTTACTTCCTTCTAATTTCGACTCAAGTGCTTACACCCAATAGTTTTAAAGGCAATATCCTAATTTTTGATGATCAAAGAGAAATGTTATTTTTCCAATTGAGCTTCTGGTTGTGACCATGAACGCAAAAATTTAGGATTTTGTCTATCGCTGCACGCGTGCTTTTGAAATATGTGATCATTTGCTACCTGCTTGAGAAAGGTTATTCAAAGAAAAGTATACTTTGCCTGTCGGTTATCCCCTTTGATGCTTAAACTGCATATATGTACGTTTATGCACTGAAGAAATTCATTAATAAGATCATTATTATTGTATTATTATTATGATTATTATTATTACTATTATTATACTCTCGTGAATGCGTCTTTCCTATTATAGGTGTCCTAATTGGTTGAACTAGAAAAATTATTTTTTTTTTTGTGTAGAGACACATGCCCATCATGAGCTGGTGGCATGGTCTAATGTTTTTTAAATATGTCAATATGATTACGGAGATAAAGTAGAATGCACCGACTTCACCATTTCCTTTGCAGATCATTTCCTTAGTCAGTTGGCATTATACTTGTGCATCTTCATAGCATGAATGAAATAATTTAATTTTCAATAAGGCCGTCCAAGAATCAACTTTATCAAAATTTCTATTGCAATAAATTGATAAAACTGTTGAGCTTCTATTCGGTGACACTTTTAAGAGATGTTAAATCGACTACCACGAAGAGGTACCAAGTACCAATTGATCAAGTTTTACTGGAAAAAGTGAAATTTGAAAAGAAAAGATGACTTCCGATAATATCCTCCTTAGCTTTATTTTATGTTTTTAAGATTTCTTTGGTCGGCTTAATTTGTCAAATAATCTTATATTTCAAATGAAAACCGGAATGCTCTATGGATGCAATGTTTAACTGAACGCAATGTTTTAGCTTTTTCGAACGCAAAGTTTAAAAAAAATTTTAGGCTCAACGTTTAATAGAAGGCTAAGAATTTTCTAGAACTTAAAAACTTTCGTGGGTCTGCAGTATTCTCGCATTAATTTTGACAAAATTTAATGCTTTAGACAAGGCTAGTTTCATTCATTTTCAAAGCTAGACAGTAATTGTCCATTTTTCCGAAACTCTGCCTTTTTAGATTGATTTCATTCTGAAATGAACCACCTAAAACAGCCAATTCCTTAAGAAAAACTAGCTTTTTACAAATCGCGCTATGAAAAATCTTGAAATAAATCAAAGTTTTTTTGCTTCATTAGCTAACTTAAAAAACGTGAAGCTTCTCGCCACTTGATTTGCTCTATGAAACATTTTGTTTCATCGCATGAATAGCGTGCTCAGAAAACTTTGAAATGTTTCAAGCTATTTCATAGACCAAATCGTTCTGCAAAACTGCTCTTGAACCTTTTCTAAGCGAACTTTTTCAGAGATTTTATAGCCTGCAGAAAATTTTATGTTATCGCGAACCAGTTTTTATGTTTTCACAGAAAAATTTATGTTTTCGCGAGCCAGTTTGGTTGAAAAAACAACTTGAAGAAAAAATTTCGTAATTTAATAGCTTCAAAAGCTTGCTCTAGAAAAATCAATTTTTTTGCTAACCCATTAGATCTTTAAATTTAATTGAAAGGTTTTAAGTTTCTTAGCTTGCTTAGAAATATCTTATCTTTTCGCGAAATGATTTTCTCGAGGAAAAAAACTTGAAATGTTTTTAAACTTTCGTCCTGGAATAGCTTCCATCTGAATTTTTTTTGCAAAATTATTTACTCTAAACAGTTGAAATAATTGGAAATTCATAATTTTATGGCTTCAATAAGTTGCTCAGGTTAATTTAATTATTTTGCAAGCTGAATCGGCCTATGAAATTGCTTGAATTATGTCCAATTTTCATTTCTGGAATGGCCCGCTAAAAAACCTTAAATTTTTTACTTTTGCAAACCGGTTAAGTCTATGAGATAATTTGATTTACTTAGCTTTCTGTAACACGATTTGGTCATAAAAACAACTTGGATCATTTCAAGGTTTCATAGCTTCAACTTTTCGCGAACCGATTCGGTCTATGAAAAAACGCGAAATTTTTCAAAAACTCTAGTTTGAATAGCTTCATTCATAAAAGCAAGTAATAGTAAAATCATAGAGCAGGGTGCTATGAGTTTTTCGTTAATAGACCAGCGGGCTATGAGGGGAAGTAGCCAAAAGAGTTAATTCTACCGATAAAAGTACTCCCTGAAACTATTTAAAATTTACATTACCTATAAACTGCGGGGTGTCAGTAATTCAGAAAATAGCACGGTGCAAGTATTTAAAAACAATTCTTTCGCATATAGAGCTAGAGATCTGTTTGTAATTTTCAGGCCAAAAAAAATGAAAATTTAGCGAGTAAAGCGAGTTCTCCTCTCTGCTATTTCAATTATAATTGAAGATTCTGCGATTTACAGAGGATCTAGGCATAGCAATTAGGCCTGTCTAAGCATTATTTGGTTAAGCGATTTTGTTGCTGTCTAGAAATTTCACGTGATTTTACTATTGGTGCCGAAAATGGTCATAGTGTGCTAGACCTGAAGCTGGAGGCCATGTGAGTGCTCGTGCTCACACTCATTGCCATGACAGGGGATTGAATACACGATCTATCGATCCCAAAATAAACTTGCTACCATTATGCTGAAAGCCTCCCGAATAAAATTTATAAGATGATAGTGCTTAGGTGAAGTAATGTACTTTTCTGAAACGTATTTTTGCTCAAACGTATTTTTTCATTTATATAAAATCTGATTTTTTCGCCTTCTATTTTTTTGTTCATCTAGGCACAATTGTACGAAGTGCACACTGGTTCACCTATCTTTATAAACACAGTGGCAATATGTTTATCGTGAGCGACAACGTACCGACTTAGTCTTGTTTCATTAAGTAAGGTATTTTTCATAATTTGTCATCATTTTCGATAACATTTCTTACTTTCAGTTGATGTGGAGAAATATATCTCTTTTTCTCAGTACATTTTGTTATAAACATAGTAAAACATTTTGTTCGATAAACGAATTCAATATCTAGATTCACATAGGGAGTTAGCCGAATATCTGGCCGTTGCCTCGATTGTCGAAATGTGTGCCACCTGAGGCACCGAAGAGTGAAGTTCAGATCCCCGCATCTACAATTATTTCAATTTTTTTTCGAAACCCCTTGTTTTCGAATAATTGCTTTTTCATTTTAAGTTGCGAAATTAAATTTTTAATGAAACTAGTGGCAAAAAACCTCGGGGGGTATTTTTTCTTAAAAGGGTAAGTTCGCCAATTAGCGCTAAATATAAAAGTTTTAGGAAAGCCAGACAGCTTTGGTAATTTTATCGTTTTCACCTTTTTGAACCTGAAAATTGCACATTTTTCAAATGGTGTATTATGACTGTTTCGTGAGTTGAGAAAGTTTGTTCTATCAGTAATGTTTAAAAGAAGGCTGAATACTGTTTCTCCTAATTTCTCTGACCAATTTAGAAACTACGTAGTTTGTAACAACGAAAAAGTTTCTAACGAGATCATTAGGTCAAAATGGCCAAAAACGAGAGCACTAAATAGATAACAGCAGCAATAATTCAGTCTTCTCTGAACTATTCCATTCTTTAGGTTTATTGCGTAATGGGCAAGTCAATAGCAGAATTATTCTCCTTCTCTTCTATCCTTCTAACTGGATTCTCAGGTCTGGTCGGAAAGTGTCTTGTGTGGAAACTATTGAAGACAGTTCCAAAACTGCAGAATATCTACGTGCTAGTGAGAGGCAGCAAAAAGGAGCCAGACGCAAAGAAACGGTTCGAACAATTGCTCAACATGTTCCCTCTCAATGAGCTGGACTCGAATTTGAAGAACAAAATAGTGCTGCTTGAAGGAGACATGTCAACCAATTTTGGCAAGTTTAACGGGGTTTTATCGCCACATTCCGGTGTTGACATTGTAATTCACGCCGCTTCCAGTGTTAATTTCGATGAATCGATCATCTCATCAATAGAATCGAATGTTGTCGGATGTAAAAATCTTCTTGATTTTTGCAAATCGATTTTGAAGCCGAAGTTATTTGTGTACATATCCACTGCATACGCGCATACCGAGCAAGGCTACAAGCAGACAGAAACAATTTTCCCGTTGAATGAGAAAGCGGAGGATATAATACAGGCTTTCAAGTGAGCTTTTTTAAAGTTTGTTTTGGTTCTTAATACAATTGAATTATTATCATCTTTTTGCATAATTCTTAATACATCATTATTAGCAGCAGCAGCAGCACATTATCATCAAGTTCGTCCCGTTACGCCGCTGGTTCGGCCTGGGTTTGGTGTTATTTATGGCATTTCATCTCGTGTATCGCAATTTTGTTGCATGTTATCGCTCTTCCACAAAAATGGCATCTTTGTTTTTCTGATTACGCTGTTCTCTTGTGCCTTGACATGTTTTTCGGGTTTTACTTTTAGTTACAGTGTGCACACATTACTTGCCGTGCTCCATTGCATTTTTAAGAGTAATGAACGTAGTGAAACTTCTTATATCAATCTTGGGGATTTTTTTCAGGAAAAAGTCTGTAAATTTGTTCACGCTCAATTTTGATTTTCCGCGGTTTGACTTTTGATTTTTTTTCAGTTCACTCCACTTTTTTTGTTCAACGGAAGGAAAACTCCACTATCGAACAGAAAATTGTAAAGGAAACGAAAAACGTGATCGATCTCTAGTCGAAACAAATTAAACTTGCGTCGTGATCGACTGATAATAATGGAAATTGATTATCAGATTTTCCAGCTAAATAAAAGTTTTACCTATTAATCTAGTTTTCTCAAATTGGGTTAATTTTATCATGAAAAGTGTCAATCATGAATTATTCCACATATTCAAAGAGCTTTTAGCCCATCTATTTGTTTTTCTTCGAAATTCGAATGTTGAAATTTTTCAAAAAACTTTTTTCGGTCAAATTTTTTTTTCCGGTTTCGTGGCGTTCATTACTCTGTTCCATTTGTCAGCTGGCTATCTTTTGAAGTTGATGATGAGATTGTGCTGTGTGACAAAAATTCTAGAGCACTTTCAGCACTGAACTCTTTCATCGCCTTTCTATGCATTTCCTTTCGTGCTGTGCCAGAGCCAGACCAGGCTTGCTCTTGCAGACTTTTTCCCATCTGCATCTTAACTCCGATTCTCTTCTTGGTCGACATGTTGTTTGTTTCTTTTCTCCTGCTTTCACCTGGCACATCTCATGGAATCATTTCTTCGCGTTTTTCGGTCACTAGGTTTCTTCCACATTTTCCTGTCATTTACTAGCTTGGCCGCGTTATTCCAGTCTTCGTCATTTTTGGATTAGGCGCCTCCAGTTGATGATGGGTACTGTACGTTATCGAAACCTGTGGCTCTCTCTGTTTAGTCCCCTAGATAGCTGTTTTTGTGAATCTTTCATTGGCACACATAATCTATTGTTAACGGTTTAAATTTAGCGTAAATAAGCCTGCTTGCTTGCTCGCTCGCTTTATTCGATTAAAATTGACCTAAAAAATCAAAAATTTCAATCGGATTTTTCTCGAAACTGAGAAAATGTTTTCAAAACTTTGTAACGTCGTTTGATTTTCGACTGAAAGGGCTTTAATATGTTAAGACAAAACTTGATAGATGAAGAAACTTTTGATAGATGGAGCTTTTCTCGTTTTTTTAAAAAGTTTCATAAAAATCGAAAATTTGTAAAATGTCAATTCATTTCGAGTAACAAAACTCATCATCAGGACATATCCGAAGAACTAAAGAACACTGTAAAAATAGCAATAAAATTACACACACTGGTAGCACCAGAAAGAAATTTTATAAAAGTTATGGGTAGGTGACAACAGATTTGCAACAATACTGAACTACGCGCTCCCCATTCGAGTCAATGAACTCTCAGTAACAAGTCCTTCGATTTGACATTGTCGCAAGTATTGATGGATGGTCCTAACTGGGAAATAGTCAGCGATTCCAATGATAGAAAAATTGACCGACTATTATTTCTTTCAAAAATTTTTGTGCTTGACAGAATTGTTGATTTTGGAAAATTACAAGCATCTAAATGTTGTCGAACTGGAGCAGCCTTGTAACTATGTTCGCGGAGACGAGTCGTAAGATTACGGACAGTTTGCCTGTCATAAAGGGCGTTGCACCCCACACAAGTAATTTTATACACGACTTCACAACAGTAAAGGAACAGGCTCTTTATGCGCAGACAATTGTAGAAGATTGTTCTTGTTTGGATGACAATTGTAGAAGCTTTTTTTTTGCATGGTGAAAAGAGTATTCAGTTTTTAAGCTGTAAGTACGAGCCCTTTGATAGAATATTAAAGAATGGAATAAGAACACGGGTAACAAAACGTAAAGCAGCTCGGTGTTCTTCTTAAATCTTCTGGATGTCTTGAAGTTGACAGACTACTTTATGATTTTCAAGTTTCAATTAATTCAATTGGAACTTCTCACAGTGCCATTATCGAAACACCCATTCTGAGGAATACGAAAGCGCAGAACTCTAGGGATAAGCTTGTCTGAGAGACAATCTTAGGAAATTTTTGGCGTAAAATAAGGCGAACCGACTTTTCGTAAGTTCAACTTTACTGAGTGAATAGCCCCTGTGCGTTGTAAAACGATAGAAGGGTGACGAATAGTCTTAAAGGAAATAACATCTTCAGTAAAACGAAAAGATGGAAAATGTCAATGCATTTCAAGTAACAAAACTCATCATCAGGACATATCTGAAGGACAAAAGAACACTGTAAAAAGAGCAATAAGATAACTCACACTGGTAGCACCAGAAAGAAATTTTAAAAGTTTTGGGTAGACGACAAAGAAGCTGCAACAATACTGAATTATCGAAGATTGCAATTGGATATAAAAATAACTTAATTTAAACTGGTTCAACCCATGCGGGGCTTGGAAAGTTTTTGAATCAAGTTTTCTTGTGAAGAATGTAAGGAGTGTATTCTAAGTTTTTTGAGAAGAGTGGCAGTTGCTCGTGGTCAGTGAAATATATGTTGTTGAGAGTGAAAGAGAGAGAGAGAGAGAGAGAGAGAGACAGAGACAGAGAGAGGTTGAAGAGATTAGTAGTAAGTTAGAAGATCGGATCAAGGTTGCAGATTCGTGTTAATGATTATTTTGAGTTCAATATGGAGTTGGACATTGTTCTTGTTCATATATACCTTGGATGCGATATTGGCTCCATACTTTGTATCTTGTGAGGGTTGTAACTTCGGGCAAAAAAACCAATAGATTTGCTATTTCAGAGTTGGAATGTCGTTGAGTTTAATCTCCCTTTTGCTGCTCGTTTCTGTAGATCTGTGATATCTTTTATATAAATATATATCTGGATCTTTTAGTAGTTTCAGTTTGAATTTTCTTAAGTTATATTCTTCGTTAGTTATTTTCGCTAAAGCGTTTTAATCAGTTAAGTCATTCTAAAGAGTTGCTCAACCTAGAGCAACTCTTGGGAAAAACAGAGTGGGTTGGGTCTTAAGCGTGGTTTTTGCGCGCTGGGTGAGGCCGGCTATCGAGCATTCTCAGGATGTCTTTTGCTGGCGAGTTGGGAAATACTTTTGAGCGTCTCTTTGAGTAGAGTCCTTACTTGTTTATAACCTTGCTTTCTTTTTGTGTGAGGTGTTTTCTGTTTTTTCTCTTAGTTGTGTCCTTTTTAAAAAACAGTTTGTTTTAAGTTTGTGTTTAATTGATCTTTGCTAGGGTTTCATGTGGTCTTAAAAAAATTTTGATTCAAATGTTTTATCTAAATTAATCCGGTTTTAATCTGATTTTGAGTTTCGTGAGACTTCCCTGTACATGTTATTGGTGCGGTGGTATTATTAAGATGCGTTGCTTATTTAAGTTCAGCTCTTATTCGTTCTTCCAACGGGATCTGTGGAAAGTTTGAAGGGAATGAAAGCAATTTAAAGTTGTTCAACCTAGAGCAACTCTTGGGAAAAACAGAGTGGGTTGGGTCTTAAGCGTGGTTTTTGCGCGCTGGGTGAGACCGGCTATCGAGCATTCTCAGGATGTCTTTTACTGGCCAGTTGGGAAATACTTTTGAGCGTCTCTTTGAGTAGAGTCCTTACTTGTTTATAACCTTGCTTTCTTTTTGTGTGAGGTGTTGGGTCTTAAGCGTGGTTTTTGCGCGCTGGGTGAGGCCGGCTATCGAGCATTCTCAGGATGTCTTTTACTGGCGAGTTGGGAAATACTTTTGAGCGTCTCTTTGAGTAGTCGTTACTTGTTTATAACCTTGCTTTCTTTTTGTGTGAGGTGTTTTCTGTTTTTTCTCGTAGTTGTGTCCTTTTTAAAAAACAGTTTGTTTTAAATTTGTGTTTAATTGATCTTTGCTAGGGTTTCATGTGGTCTTAATAAAATTTTGATTCAAGTTTCAAACGAATGTTTTATCTAAATTAATCCGGTTTTAATCTGATTTTGAGTTTCGTGAGACTTCCCTGTACATGTTATTAGTGCGGTGGTATTATTAAGATGCGTTGCTTATTTAAGTTCAGCTCTAATTCGTTCTTCTAACGGGATCTGTGGAAAGTTTGAAGGGAATGAAAGCAATTTAAAGTTGTTATCAATTAGTTTGCAAAACTAGACATAATTATCACAGTAGGGAGTTATGCGAAATAGTGAAAGGGAGTGCGTGAAATGTGGGCGAGTGAGTTTCGAATTGAGGAGTTAATAATTTTGCAATAATCCAATACTAGTGGTGTTTTTAAGCTGTAGTGCTTTAGTTATTTAATGTAGAATGTTTATAGAAGTTCATCGTCTTCAGCTTTGCAAATAGGGATTTTTAAACGGTTATTGAAATTGTAAAATGATAACCATGAGAGAGTAGGGAAGAGGGAGTGTTCATCCATCAAGGTAGGAGTCGCGTTGGCTTTCGGGTTCAGAGTTATTATAGCTGAATTGGGGGGGGGGGGGATGGGAGATTTTCAATCACGAATTGAGCAGTGTTAGTGTGTCTAGGGTGATAACCTCGGAGTAGTCGAGATGACGAAGGTCGGGTTATTAAGTATCGAGGTAGAATAGCGGAGTACTTTCGTTTCAGGAGGATCCGTTTCGCACGAGTGGGAGTTTTACGAATGGATTATGTTGATGTTTCTGAGGGTGAGGCTGAGTGTGTTAGTTGATGGATTGTAAGTTGTCGGTCAGTGTGATGAATTTGTTG